CATGTGGACCATTTCTGAAGTTAGTATGAGACTTCATCTTATGGTTAAGATCTGCTACAGCAAAGGATGCTCAGTGAGAAAAGTAGCAGGAAATAGATCCAGAGGGGTCTGGACAGGAGTCCTGAGACCTCTGACCAGGATTCTAATGACCATTTCCATTCAAAACAATCCAGGAGTGCTTGGCCTCCAGCAGATCTACCTGCAGAGTTACAGGATGTCTCTGTCTGAGGAAGCCTCTTTGAGTTACAGACTAGTAGGCCTTTATGGGGGCGGCGTGCATCTTAGGTGCATCTTACCATGCAACAAGCCATGACAACCAACCCTCAAGACCCCAACAATCAACCCAGGTGTATATCATCATTCCTAACATGTGTGCAAAGCAACCCGATGAATCACTATGGCACGATCCATTGCTCTGGGCATATGTAGCAAAATTATCAACCATTAACAAAAGATTTCAGAGGACACATTTCCACTTATTGGCCAAGGTTCATTCATGGTTCCCTTGGAGACTGTAAGGAGTAAGCATGCAGACCTGCTATGTCTACACTTTCCTTGCCAACGTTCTGTAATCAACCAAAGATATTAGTATTACTCCTGACAGGTTTCAAGACCCTAAAGCCAGCCAGGAATGCAATTATTATTTTGTCTCTCCCAAATTATTGATCGAAAGGCTACGTGGTGAGTCTGGAGTTAGATGAAGGAGATGAGTGTTGCTGAGAAGCTTGCTGTGGTGGGGCTTCTACTCATCTGTGTTAGACTACTATGGGAGGGGAAAGTGTACTCATCTTAAAGTCCCATCAGCCCAGTTCTGTCCCTCATTGGCTAATGATCTTACAAGATAACTCCATTTCTTCCTCACTAAAAGAGGAATAATGATTCCTGGTTAATGGGTAGAACGGTGAATGCTGAAGTAGATAATGTACATAAAAGCACTTTGTAAACTGAAGTACTATGCAATGGAATTAGCCTTCTTTCTAGGGATATTTCCATCTAGATAACAAATAATGGCATTTTCCTGGACAGTATTGGAGACACACTATCAAATTCTTTCTTTTCCAACGTTTCTTCCTAGATATTAATGTTTCTGACATGGGATTATGGCATTACAACAATGTCATATGTTTTTCCAATCATAATCTGTAGTGGCAGGTTGATATTTCAGGAGTTATACATGCTTGTCATCAAGATTGAGTAACTTTCTTAGATAGCTGATGTTAGGCATTTTGTGTTTTGTTCCAATTAACTTTAATTTCAGAAAGTGTAGAAGCTGGGGAGTTAGCTCAATGGTAGAATATTTTGTGTCTAGCAAGTGGGAAGCTCTGGGTTTGGTCCTCAGGACCAAAAAATTAAAAAGTTAAAACAGAAACAAAGCAAGGACAAAAAGTGACATGTTTTTAAATTGTGGGTCTATCACACTACAGAAAAAAATACATTCTGCTCTTGCTAACCCTTCAGTTTCTTATTTACTACTAGTACATATAAGCATCTTGACAAACACATGCTAAATAAATGTTTGGGGTTTCGTTTTTGAGGCAGGGTCTCGCTACGTAGTACAGGCTGGCCTCAAACTCAAATTGATCTTCCTGCCTCTGCTTCCCAAGAGGTGGGATTACAGGTGCACAGCACCACGTCCAGCTTTGCTAAATAAGTGAATTAGTGAATGAATAAGTGAAAGTAAGAGAGTGTCATACTCTGGAGAAATCATGTGCTGAGACAGCTTATGATCACCAAACACGATTTCTTTGATGTTACAAATAACACTCGCCTTGGCTGCTACCTGAAGAATTCAGACACAGAGAAACATACCCGTGTACTTGCCGCACCTAGTCCAGGAGAGAGAGAATTCTGGTGAGGACAGCTGCCAGGCTGACATGGAATAGAGTGGAATGTGAGGAGCCACTGATCTCCCACATGCATTCTAATCCCTGCAGGGGAACAGGAGGTACCCCAGCTGTGGGTCATCAGTCTGTTTTAACGTGGTCAAAGAAGACATCCCAAGACCCGAATAGAGGTACAAGATCACTAGAGAGGGAGTCTGTTCTAGACGGCCTTCTATACATGTGTCCTTCTTTCCTACACGCACCACAAAGACACAGTGAGTCACTGTCAATCCTTCCCAGACCAATTCATCTCAGATGTCATCTCTGGGATTTCCCTTGTCCCCACGGGACACTGGGGAATTGAAGCAGTCTTCCTGCACTGTCAGCTCTGAAAGAGTAAGATAACTTCTCTAGATGGCTTAATGAAACAAAATGCTTTTCACTTCCAAACTTCTGTTTTCTATATACATTGGGGCTAGGTCTGTCATAAACAATCAGTAAACATGTGTTTATTATAAAGCCTGTCCTTCTAGTCAATTCACAGAGCTAACAGAAGAGTTCAGAATGTGACTCTGAGCCCCCCGCCCCATAAGTTGCTTGGGCTGCGTGGTTGGAGGCTTCCCAAGAATTTCCAATAAAAATTGACTGCTCGCTCTAAAACTGGAAGTGTTCCATTCTTAATGTAATGAAAGAAACAGGTGAATGACTCAGCTCTTTCTGCCTTGGGTGATTAAGTAACCTAAAATTATTACAACGTTAAGCTTTTAGATGAAATTTGAGAAGTCTCTGTAAAATCTTTGAGCGAATTAAAAATTTCATTATGTATGGCCTAGGGTCCTTATGCAGTAGTATAGCAAAAATAATTTAAGTATGAATACTGCAATTCCAGCAGCTTTTATAGTTTTGATGATCTTTGGCCCCAGAAGAGCTGAGTCATCCTGCTTATGTGTTCAGAATATAAACTAGTTTAATTGGATAGGATGATAGGGGAAAATGTGTCATTTTAGAGTAGCTAATATATTCTGCTAATGTATAGATATATTTTGGCCAATGAGATTTTCCTTCCTACAGAGAATGGCTTTCCTCAGCTAGATAATGATAAGACTACTATAACAAAAGAAGAGTATAATACCATGATACATCAAAGTGGAAAAAACAGTATGAACATTCACATGTTTAAAGTTGTTTTCTAGCTATACCATTATTAAATTTGGCTTCACAGCAATAGAACATGGGTCTCTGATATGATTCTCCATCAAAAGGAAAAAGCAGCTGGGGAGAAACTCAGAGGTAGAGTCTGTGCTTAGGATGTGCTGGGCCCTGGGTTCCATGCCAGTGCCAAAAAATTAAAAACAGAGTCCTGGGGATAACGAATTCCGTATCTCAGGACAAGAGAAAAATCATGGTGGTTTCAAAACATCATGTCTTGCCAAAAAAGCAAGAATGTCTTTATGGGTGCCAGAAGCAGTGCTAAAGGGCAAAACAACTTACTTAATTGTCTCCGAGGCTAAAATAGAGGCTCAACAACCAATAAATGTTATTGTTAATATAGTTAATTATAATAAATTGACTCTATGAAAGGTCACTAGTTTATGGTGCCCCCGAAAAGGAACATTAACATAAATTATACAAAAGGCAACATAATACAAACAGCCGTGATGATGAAAGGGTCTGCTTTACTTCTATTGATTTTAATAAGTACCAATGTGCTTCCTTTAAGTGCAGAAGAATAGTTTCTTCTGTGTGAGTAAAAATATTAAATATAGGATATTCTGGAAAACATCCTGGAAATTTAAAGGACTGTACAAAAGATAGGAAAATCACCATCTGAATGGTTACTCACAAACAGAAAGATAGAGGTTTAACATTTAATCACTGAAAATGATCACACCTGAGATAAAGAAGGGCTCTGTAGAGATAAGTGTAAAGAGGAAAGCTAATTATGCATCTTCTAAGTAATTAAACTTCTCACTAGTTATAGCAAAGTACCAATAAGGAATAAAATTGTCTTAATAATATTACAGGAAATTTCACTTATACTTCAACTGGGCTTGTGGGTGAATAAATGTTCATAATATTATAGTATAAAATGCTGAAATACTTCAAGATAAAGCAAATTTACAATCACACATGAAGGAAGAGATACTTCCTAACCTAAAAGATAGTCTTATTCAAAATGAATGACTACATTGTGCAAATCACCCCAAAAAATGCACCTTATGATCTCATCTCCAAAGTCAAAATTTCATTAAAGTCATTTTAACAACTGATCAAGTGAGACAGCTACATTGCAGTTAGCTTTATTGGATTGATGGTATTAACCATTAAATATATTTTCATTTCTTAGATACATTTCTTCAATACATTTTCCTGCAAAGTATATCACATCGCCTCTATGGGCTTACATTGCACCTTCAAAAACTATACTTACATGTGCAAAAACATTTGGTACACTAGCAATGTTTTCCATGTGTTAGTGAACCAAGCAAGTCATCACTGCCAAGCTACTTCTGTATTAACTTTGGGAAGCGACATCCATCATGAAACACACAGGATATCATAGATATCATAGACTCACAGCGTAAAGCATCTTTTAGTGCAATATAATGAATTCACATCACAAAGAGAAGGGACATGTGAAAATGCACACATCTAATGATATTCTGTGTTTTATCCAGAACTTTGCAGGCATCATTACACAGGCGGAAACTGCACTCAGGCCAGGGTATGTGCTGGGCCACCATCAGCCCTGAGGATGCTGTCCCTGGGAACCGTTTTAAAATGGAATGTTCTGGAGGAGCAAGTGGTAACAAAGCTCAGTCTGAATCAGGAGCTCAAAATTCCTAGAAATGACCAGGCTAAAAGAAAGATTATTTGTTTTCCATAACTGCCCCTGGAGGTTTAGGCGCAGAGTGGAACCTTAAAGGTTTCTGAGCTCGAGCAGCTGAGGGCTAAAGTGCTCCTGCCTTCTCTGGTCTCCGCGAACTGCTTCCAAGAGGCCGTACTTAATGCAGCCATTATGCAGCTGCGGTTTGTCATCTTGATGAATCAATCTGTATTAGCTGATCCCACACTTTTAGAAACTTCAAAGTTCCATGCTTGCTCTTTGAGTACAGACTGGCTCTCGAAGGTTTTGTTTCTTTTATAATTTGTAATCTTACCTCTCTGCTGTACCTTCTAGCATTCCCTCTCTTACTGCTAAACTCAACCCTGAGGCGATGGGGCTGGGCCACGGTTCCCTTTTTCCCTGTGGTCACTGTTTGATAAAAATGGAAAGGAAGTAAATGAAAGCTCAGCACAGAGGCTTACGGTGTAGACAGGACATCTCAGCTCTGTGAGATGCTGCTGGAGTGGGGAGGCCGCACCTTTCAGCCTTGGGTGTGCTGGATCAGGCCGCTGGCTCCTGGCTCCAGCCGATTGTGAAAGCTGCAGCTACTACAGTTATTTTGTTTCTTCTGGCTACAGTTTCTCCTGAAAAGGGGTTCACATTCCCTACTAGGGATGCTGCACTGAAACCATAGTTTGGGTGAGGCGAGTGAAACCAGGGTGTGTAAGGAGGTCAGATTCTTGCTTTAGTGTTGGTATTTTGCTCATGAATTTTTTTTGCATTAATTTTAACTTTTGAAATAATGCATTAAAAACTACCTGTTAAGATTCCTGAGCTTTGTGTTTGGCTGCTCTTGATTTTATGCCTGAGCAAGAGCCTTGCTTGCCTAACCCTAATCTAGGCCGGGGCTCGGTTCAGTCTCTGACCTTCACCACTAGGCAAGGTGGAACCCTGGGAGCTATCGAAGGAGTCTTCATTCTGCACCCCTCTCCCACCCAACAACGTCACCTCTCATGGGATCCAGGCTCTTCTCATGGTATGTGTAGGGGGCTGCCGTCCCCTCCCCCATCCTGTCTCTTAGCCCTCCACTGAGATGGCTGCTGGGACACCCCAGCAGTCCCTACAAAGTCATCACTGAGAACAGGGCCTTTCTGGCAGACAAACCCGATTGATTCCAGCTCTCTTCTTCTTTGAAGGCTCCAGACACATCCTCTAGCTTTCAGCATAACCTAAGCACACTTCCTCTCCTCTTCCTCTGCAGCCTCACCTCCCGCAGTAGCCTCCCCACACACACACACCTATGCTGTTTATACTGCTGTTCCTTGACACCTACCGCCCCTCTCCCTAGAACGAACTTGTCCACTTCCTCATCCAGTCCATTCCCTACTTTTCCAAGCTAACCGCAAGGACACTTCCTCTGGGAAGAGTTGTTCAGGTAGTTAGAATTCAGTCTCATCTTTGTGTTTCCAAAGCACCTCATGTGTCCATCTGTTATCCTTCCGTTATGCTACATTGAATTCGTTGATGTACTTGCTGATATTGACTGCAAGTCCTTGGTGACCTTTAACCCTTGTATTTCCATCTCCTAGTGCACTCCCAGTGGGACTCAGTAAATGTTAAATGACTGAATGAATATAGAAGAGGACTTAATAATGCACTTCACATGGTAAGTACTCTACTCAAACGTATTCATCCTTTCCAGCTGGCCCAATGATAGACAGATGAATGCTTTTGGTTGTTGAAAGAGTTTTGCGCTAGAATAAGTTACAGGACGTTATGGCAGTGGGAGGTGGAATCAAGGATGTTTATCCTGAGGTCACTTCCTCCTTCCCATATTACAACTTTCTTTTTCCTTTTCTAGGGCATGTGAAAAAAGTTCCAACCAGCTCCTCCTGCATCATCAATGCCCGCCCTAAGCCCCAACCCCAGTTAGAAGTTATATGTATCCCATACCCCACGTTCTGGTCAAAGGAAGCCAGACCACCTTTGGTTGTGGATTTCTCTCCATGTCCTCAGAATAAAGACTACTTTTTACTTTTATATTTTGCTCCTATATTGCGCTGAAAATGCTAACAGTTGTGTATTCAGCTAGCCCAATCAATGATATGTAACTTGCAGCAAACAGATATTTTCTAAGAACTGGTACTCTCTTCCTTGAAGGACCTTGAAGATCCTTGAAGGGCCAAATGATAGAGTTATTTCCAAAAGATGAAAAATATTAACAAAAGATGAGAAATATAAAATAAAAATCGGCCTTTATTCTGAGAACACGGAGAGAGATGACTGGCACCCCCATCGCTGGCGTCCGGCAATCTCTCCGGCGGACACGCGGCGTGGGGGCCTGTAAATAGCCTCAGTTTGGGGTGGAACCTAAGGCGGGCATTAGGGATACACAGGTAGCCCATTGGTCCTAGGTTTGGCGCCATATGTAAATTCCCAGGGGCGGGAAGATGGCGTCACAGGTAACTTCCTAGGGGCAGGGCAAGATGGACTTCCTGCTTCCGGTTGTGGCTTTCCTGGCTACAGAGTCCTGTCTGGGCCAAAACATTTCACCAAATGATTATGATAATGCACACTTTAATAAAAAGGAACATGAACTATGTTAGGATGGCCTAATAGGTTTTGAACTCAGGAACACTGCATACATTGTGAGTTTTCTCAAGTAAAAGGAAACGTTGGTGGAAATTTGTTATTCACTGTGTGTACTGCCATCCCCTGAATAGATGATCAGACTACCAACTTTAGACCTGCAAGGTCAGTGAAACACTAAACACAGCAAGCATTAAATTGTGTTTCACCTCAAAGTCATCATCGCAGCCCGTGTTTCTCAGATCAGTGGGTTGCTTACAGCAGGGCAGAGGAGGGGAGAGGGTTGGCCTTTCTTGTTTCCCAGCCTGCACACCAGAAGGCATCTGGCTTTCCCCACAGTGGCCTGTGCATGGTGCCAATCTGGAGGGCAGGCTTGCTTCTTGGTGACATCTTGTTCTCTTTCCCTGCAGTTGAAAATGGTCAACAGCCTCTTTAATAAAAGATTAACTACCTGCCCTTAAATTCATACTCAGGGTTGAAGCAGAACTCTTTAAATTATTGCTACTCCTAAAACAACCACTGGAGCCATGGGGCAGTGGTGCTCAATGATTCCCAAACTTTGGTATAAACTAAAATCATGAAGAAATTTTGTGTAAACTACATATGCCAGGGTTTCATCGCTGGAGGCTGTTTCTGTAGATCTTGCCAAGGGCTTGAGAAAGGTGGACAGAAAAAAGAACTAGTTAGCTGTCTTTAAAAGGGGGGGATAATTTTGATGCAAATAAAATGAAGATTATTTAACTTTATATCTTCCAAGTCCCCAATCATCTAATACTCACCTGTTAGTTATGAATGTCCATTTAATTTTTATTTTGGTATATAGTATTTTCCAATGGAAGTATTTGCTTTGAATCCTTCATCATGAGAGTAAAATTCTTCCAGATGGTTAAAATTCCATGATCTCCACATTCTTGCTACCTTTTAATGGGCTGGCATGGGCTCACGGAAACTAAAAGAGTTGAAACAAAGGCATTTTGGAAGTTGTGTTAATCCAGAAGTACCAAGAAGCAGATGCCAAGTTAGGATTAAATGTTCGAGAATTTTACTAAGCCAAATGACTTATGAGAAAAATGGAGAGGGGACTGAGAAAATCTGGGAGAGAACTCAGTGCACACACAACTGTGACTCTTAAGTGTTAGTTTTTATTTTTAAAAAAGCTCCCCGCCGCGCACAGTGTTTGGAGGGCAACTGAGTCATGGGGTGTAGCACTTATCAGTGGACTCCTACACTGATGCACTGTAGCTGAACGTGTTCAGGAGGTGCAGGGTCACTAAGGGGGTGACCTTTAAGGATGTGTTCTTGTCCCCAGCCTGTCCTTTGTATCTCTGCTTTTTAGCCTGTCCTGGGTTGATGTGTTAGGGTTTGCAAGGGAATAGATTTAACACAGGACACATAAATTTAGAGGATTATCTTCACCACCAAAGTCACCTTCAGAGGAGTGCTGAAGATCTGTCTGCATGCTAGAGACTCAAAGAATCCAGCCACAGGCCTGGATCCCTCGGGCCTGCCCGAGCCTGGCTAAAGGCCTGGAGCCCATGGCAATGTCCCTCACAAGCCCAGCTGGAGGTCCTCAGCCCACAGCAGTGTCTCATTCGAGTTCTACCAGGAGGCTGAAGAATCCACAATGAAAGACGGAAGGGTTCTGCTTAGAAAGCCCAAGGGTGGGTACTGAGGATAGAGAATCTGTGCAGGAGGCTAAAGGGTCTGCACTGGAGCTTGGAAGCCATGCTCCAGAAGAAAGCAAAACCCAGAGCTGCCCGGGAGGAGAACAACCGTGTCCACAGCCACAGGGAGCGCCTACTCTCCCACCAGGAAAACCAGCCTCAACAGTTCACCCGGGACATCAGCAGCGTGCACTCCGCCCCTCCAGTTCTCCTTTTAAATGGTTCTGACAACAATCCTCAGGTGGGTCTTCCATGCCCAGAGCCCTGCTGACTCAATTCAGCTGGGCATTCCCTCTCAAATTGACCATTAGTTAATCCACCACAAATGACCACATTTTCTCCTGCCGTGCCCTCTGCTGTCCTGTTTCTGCCTTGGAGCCAGCTCTGCCTCCAGACTGGAACTGTGAGCCAAAACAAACCTTGCCTCTAAGCTGGGAGTGCTGGTTATTTTGTCCCTATGAAAGGAAAGTGCCTAAGGCAGTGCAAGAAGGAGGAAAAATGTGGAATGAAGTGCTACGGTCACTGTGCAGTAAAGGAAGATTCAAGCTGGTGAGCAGTCCTCAAACAAAGGTGTGCCCCATGCGGCTACTGCACACTGTCGCTGGCTGGAAGCAGCCCCAGGAACAGGAGTCCTCAATAACTGATTTCCAGACCACATCAGCTGGGATCTTTGCTCAGTTGCAATTCCTACAATTAAAGTGTGTGAGAGCCCAGGTTGGGGAAATAGACTGAAAAAAGAGAAAAGGGAACTACATGATAGTTTACTGTATGTTGATTACTTCAACCAGGAATAAGACATGATCCATTATGGCTGGCATTGAAAATTAAAAAGCGTTACTCTGGTAGTTCCTTAGTCTTTCTCCTCACCTTCCCCTTTCCTTCCTTCTAACTTCTCAGTCCCCAACATTAAGATTTGGGAAGTGCACCTAGTTTATATTTATTTGTTTATTCTCTTTCACTCCATTTTACCTGTCAAATTTTATTTTCTGTGTTGGTTGCTTTTTTTTTCATTGCTGAGACAAAATACTCATTGCCCAAAGTGAAGGAAGAAAAGGTTTAGTTAGCTCACAGTCTGTGGAGGTTTCAGCTCATACTCAGCCGCCTCCAAGGCAGGGTGACGTGGCAGAGGAGCACCAGTTCATGGCACAAAAGACAGCAAAAGCAGCAAGAGCAGAAAGGAAGGAGCCCGAAAGCAAGCCTCTTATTTCCCTTATTTTGTCTGCAGGCTACTCATCCCAGTGTGGTGTAGCACTCACACTCATAATCCCAGCAGTAGACCATGAGTTAATCATAAATCATAGAAGCCCAATTTCATTGCTTATTAAGGTTGTGGGGGAAATCCAGACACAAACCAAAACATTTTCTGATACTCAGGTGCCTCTCAGCCCATTCAGCACACCTTCCTCATTGCTTTTTTTGAGTTTATGCTGTTCTGCCAATCTAGAGTTATTCTCTCAAGTCAACCTGTCACACGGCTGGACAAAGAGCTTGTGTTGGGAGAGGCAGTGTGAGCCAGGGTGTGCAGAGATAAGGTACTTTCTGGGGTTTTCCACCTTCCTCCTTTCTCCTCGGCCTGTGCCTTTTCCACTTCTTTTTATTCTTCTCACTCAAGTAAGCATATGGCAGGTGTAAATGCACATGAAATTCCTCTGCAAAGATTGCCACAAAATTCTATACATGAGATTTAATAACTGTCGAAGTTCTAAAAAGTTACAGCTTCAACATCCAGGGGAAATTGGGGGGAAATTAAAATTTGTGCAAAGACTAGAAGTAATAATTTCTGACTACACGCATAGAAAACTTAAAGAGTCATTCATGATTTGTGTGGTATAAATTTAAGAACATTCACAGATGTAAAGCCACACAATGAAGCAGAAATATGTTAACTCTAACACATAATGTTATTGATGAGCTTGGGAAGACCGCCAGTGAATTTATGCAAACGCTTTTCAAATTCAAGTTGCTTATAAAACTAAGGGCTTCTACTGGGCATGGTAACACATTGTAATCCCAGTACTCTGGAGGCTGAGGCAGGACAATTGCCATGAGTTTAAGACCAGCCTGAGCTACATACTGAACTCAAGGTCAACCTGAACTACAGAGTGAGATCCTGTCTCAAAACAAACAAACAAAAAAAACCAAACAGCTTCATTGCTTATCTATACGTCAATTATTAATCTATTTTATAGATTCTATAATCAAAAATTAGATCTTTTGAAAGAGAATTTAAATTTTACATATACATTCTTTCTGCTTCAGCTGTCTCCCGGTCACCCAAGAACTTATTAGGTTCTGCCTAATCCCTACCATTTTTTAGGGCTTCTTTCCCACATGGTCTCTTTTTACCCTCCACTGACCATGCTTAACAGAAAGGACGGAGGGCTTTTCTTCAGTGGAGTCAGGAGAGAAAACCTTAAGGCAAAGAACAAGTGATGGATAAATCTGAAATGGATCCTGTTAACTATATGGCATTTAACACAGCTGTGGAAATTGAAAACCAAAGTGTTAGCTCTTTGCCTGATAGCAGCTTGTTTAAACCACAGTGTGTGCCTTCCTTACCTACCCTGACTCAGACAAATCCCATTAAGAAATCCGTTTGTATGCCTGCAAGTGTTCAGACAGATTCATCAAGCGACTTCACCTATAGAACTAAGACCATGAACTCTTGCACACTATTTTTGAAGAATCAAAAAAAGAAGAAATGTAAAAAGAGGAACTACAAGCCAAAATCAACACCAAGGGGAAGACCAAAAGGAAGAAAAATCACAAAAGGTCACAAATAGATTTAAAAAATAAAGACAAAGGACCAGAGTTCCTATTTTTATACTCTGAGAATGGAAGGAAACCATTACCTTGGAGGAAATTTTTAAATTCTGAGTAGGCTGTTGCAAGAAGTTTTTTTTTTTAATTTAAGGAGAAAAGAAAAAAAAAGTGAAAGGGTACAAGTTATACAGATTTACAGAAGAAAAAAATGAACAGTAGGAAATCACTAGTTAATGGATTACATATTGCCATCTTAAAAATAATTGTTCAAGTCACAAAATTAAAGCTTGTAGAGTGGACATTCCAACAATGATACTGCAAACAGTTCTGTTCAATGATCCAATAAAACTCTGTGATATCATTTTCTATCTTATACACTTAAATATACATACAGTTATATAGTTTAGAGCACTTTCTTTTCCTCTCTTTTGTATGATGACTATTACACATTTTGGGTTTCATTGCTCCCACGGTTCTTATTGCTTTTTGGGAAGAGAGTAAAACCAAATGAGACATAACAGGACAGAATCAGTCAAGTCAAAAGGGTGGACATAATAGATAATATAAAAACATAATACAAGGTGATCTACAATGGTTACTATAATGCCTCCCACTATCTCAAATAGAATTGCCTATATCATTAGTTATAATGCAATTGAACAAAATAGTAAAGAACAAAACCGACAAAACCAAAACATTGGAGACATTGTAGGTCTTCAAAAGTAGATAAAAGTCAACGAGAATGGGCGTTATAATGAATCTCATTATCTTCTCAGCTGATGCCTAAACTTTCGAACCTGATACTATCCATCAAAACAGAATAGGGGAACATCAGTCAAAAACAAGATGGTGAGAGTAATACAGGGCTTCAAATCGAGATAATAGAAAGTCAAAGTGGGTTACTATATTATATCCTGCTATTTTTTTCCCTTTAATTAAACGGATAAAAATAAAAAAGTAAATAATGGAGTGGAGATTGAGAAAAAAAGAGGACATAACAGCAAAACAGCGCAGATCAAAACATAACCATTTAAGCAGAATAGTGTTTCACCACCAGATAATTACGACCTAAAAGTAGTTACCATATTGACTCTTTCCTTGAAGTCCTTGAGTACAACTTCATATACTGTAGCATTAAGTATATAAAAACAATGTAAAACCATTTAAGAGAATGACAGCATTACAGAGTATTTAGAATCGACTAACAGAAAATGAACAATGGTTTCTGTATAATCTCCTTGTCTTTAAAAGGTTTTTGCTTATACTATCGTACATAATAAAATCCAATAAGATACAACCTGTTTAGACCATTGGAGACAGAAGAACAAAAGCTAGATCAGACTTCAAAACAAGATGATACTAAATCAGTATTACCTATTAAGATGTCATTTTCTCTAAAATAGCTGTTCCTATCATCCAATCTTCTCTGTCTCATTTCTGTTGAGCTCTTTTTCTGTCAGTAGCTGTCAGTTTGTCTTCTTCATTTTGTTCTCTGCTCCATTCATTGTGGCCTCCCCGCCACCATTTCTGGGTTCTTTGTATTTTTCTTTTTTTAGAATATCCTGCAATACTTTCTGTAGGGTTGAATTGGTGGTTGCAAATTCCCCCAGTTCCTCTTTATCCTGAAAGCACCTCATTTTTCCATCAATTTCCAGGGACAGTTGTGCAGGATATCTCAATCTTGGCTGGAGATTATTATCTTTCAAAGCTTGAATTATTTCCCCCCATGCTCTTCGTGATTTGATGGTTTGTGCAGAGAAATCTGCTGTAATTCTGATGGGTGTTCCCTTGTAAGTGGTCTGTTTCTTGTCTCTTACAGCTTTTAATATTCTGTTCTTGTATTGAATTTCTGGAATTTTTATTATTATATGCCTGGGTGTTTCTCTGTTAGGGTTGTAGGTAGCTGGGGTCCTGTATGCCTCATACATCTGAGTATCTTTACCTTTTGCTAAATTAGGAAAATTCTCCTGGATTATTTCTGTGAGTAGCTTTTGTAGTTCACTTGTTTGTGTCCCTACTTCTTCTTTTATGTTCTTAATCCTTAAGTTATGGCTCCTCTTATCATCTTCTTGTCTTTGTATTATTGCTGTTTGTTTCTTTGTTATTTTTAAGAAGTTTTTCATTTCATTCTCCCATATTACAAGTCTGCCCTCCAGCTCAGATAGTCTGTCCTTAGTTTCTTTCAAGCTGTTATGCCAGTCTTGGATAGACTTCTTAATTTCTTGATAGTCCCTTTGAACCTGCTTCACGTACTCTATGCTTTCTCTGTTTTCTCCATCAAACAATTCTCCCCTCTTTTTCTGTTCTTCCATTCTACAATCTGTTTTTTCCTGGGTGGTGCTTAGCATTTCTCTAACTATTCTGCATACTTCTAGCTTCAGGTCATTGATAACTTCATTCCTGAATTGGTCTATGAGGCTCTCTATATGGCGCTTAATGTCTATTGGTGCGGTGTCCACTATTGCCTGTTTCTCAGAATTGGGGGCCGAGGAGCCTTTCTTGTTGCTTCCCTTCCCCATTTTCTCCTTTCCTTATAAAATGCAAGCTTACGTAGGAGGCCCAGCTTCCCTGCCTGTCAGCCACAGCCTGATCAAATTGCGCTGGCTAGGTGTTCCCGCCCACTGCTGCGCACCACCGAGTTACGGACTAGGCAGCCTACGCAGGAGTCGCCCCTCCGGGCCACCGTCAGGCTCTGGGATCTGGGTTAGGCCAGCCTACCAAGTCCGCCCGCAGCATCACGCAGGCCAGGCACTTTTCACCAATCCCGTCCGAGAGGGGAATGTGTGGCTGGAGTTGTCACCGCGCCCTGCTCTTACAGGACTGCCTGAGCCCAGAAAGTCCTCCGCTGGAGTCAAACTGTGGTGGAGTGTCAGTTTCTCTCACTCACCTCGCCACCAGTCAGTGTACGCCTCCTTGTCCGTCCTGTGTTCGACTCCGTTCGCAGACTCCCGTTCCCAGAGCTTCTGCGCATCTCTCCTTGCCGAGCCGCTGTGGAGGCAGCCAGCCGCCGAGCGGCAGGAAATCCAAACCGCAGTTTCCAATGGCGCGGGGTCTAGCCTCCACACCGAGACTTTTCTGTTCCTATTTTAGCGCCAGGACTGCATTCCAAGTTGGTTTCTCTCAGCCCAGTTCGTTCCTGAGTCAGCAGAGCATGTCTCTACCGGCTCATGTCTCCTTAGTCCGCATCATTCCTGATTTCTGAGCCGAGCCTTTCAGAGAGCCTCCGGTAGTTGCTGTTATCTATCTGCCATGTTCTCCCAGAAGTCAAAGAAGTTTTTTTTTTTAACAGAAACACATAAAATTTCAAAACAAGATAATAGGAGAATAACAATAGTTAACACATTGCATATTGTTATCATCAAAGTAATTACTCAAAGTACAAAATACGGGCATAAAAAATTCTCAGAAGAAATCACCAACAGATGAAAAGACAACCCACAAAACTGGAAAATTAGCCAGTGGTCCCTCAGACAAAGGACTTAGGTCTAGAACATATAAAGAATTGAAAAAAATCAGATCCCCAAAATTTAAAGACCCAATCCAAAAATGGGCATCTGATATGAACACACACTTCTCAGATGAAGAAATACAAATGGTGAACAAATATATGAAAAAATGTTCAGCATCATTGGTCATTGGAGAGAAAAATGTAAATTAAAACAACACTGAGATTCCTTCTCACTCTAGAAAAAATAACTATAATTAAATCAACCGATAACAAATGCTGGCAGAACTGTGGGGAAAAGGAACCCTTCTCCACTGTTGGTGGGAGTGTACACTGGTGCAACCTCTTTGGAAATCAGTATGGAGATTCCTCAAAAAACTAGCATTAGAGGTCCCATCCCTTATGTTCCCAGAATAATTAAAATCATTATATCATAATAATATATGTATACTTATGTGTATAAGACAATTTTTAACTACATTGAAAAACTAAAGCATAAACATCATTTTAAGGAATCCTTAAAATGAATGTTGGGGAAGTTTCAGAAAAAGAAGATGTTGATAGTCATAGATACAACTACTTGGATAATGATGGCTTCATTTCTCCTGTTGAAGATTCAGGAAAGGAAAACGAGATGACACATCTTGGATGTGATGAACGTGCCACCGCATTGGTAGAGGGGAATTGTTTCGTTATAAGTTCGGAATTTCATAGAAGACAAATGTGTATTTAGAACGAAAGAACAATAAAGAACCTGCTTTGTCTACAAAGAGAGATGCTAAGGCCAGAAAACGTTTTAAAGGTCTGAAAAGTAAACAAAACATTTAAAATTTTAAGACACTGGAGAAAAGCTGTATGTAAGTCCTGCTGTCTTTGTTAGTGCTTTTTACTTTCAAAGTAACAGCTCACAGGTATCAATGGAACACTGAAAGAAAATGTTAGATAAAAATCACTGACATCCTACTAGCTCCATTAGATTACCTTGATTTTAAATTCCAACTTTATTCTGGCAATGGAGACTTTTACTATCAAATGTTTAATCGTTTCCCTTCTCTGGCACATAGCTCAGCAGCATGAGGTCCTTGGTTTGATCCCCGGCAGCTCAAAAATACTTTCCCTCATCTATGGGGGTTAGTCTTTTTAATTCAACTATGGTTTTTCTTGAGATCACTATTTTATAGCTGACTATTCTGTTAAATATGAATTGCATTGTTTTTGTTTTTGTCTAACTTGTGAACTAAAACTTATGGAGAGGTGCAAAACATAAATCCTCTTTTGCAACCCAGAACTCACTGTTCAGAGTCAGTTTTGATATACTGGAGAAGGACTAATACTGCCAGGTGCAATTTTGGGGACCTCTGGGACTGCGGCAAAAGGAGTGACACCTACATAGTGAGACTCTACCTCAGAAATAAAGCAAAAACAAAATCGATGGTAACCTAGTACAGATTAAAGTATGGAAGGTGTCAAGAGTCATTATGCTTGGTTCTGAGACTAAAGAGTGAATTAGAAGGCATAGAACATGAGCAAAATCTCAGCTCTGGAGCTTTGATATCCCAATTTTCATGTTGCGACTCATGAAGATAACTTTTTTTGTTCTTTCTTAAAGGCTTTTGTCTTGAACATGGGGCTGGAGTTGAAGATATGTCTTACTGTGGACCATGTTTGTTTAAATATAATGGGCATTAACATCAGATTAAAATTTCCATAGATTAATAAAAGACTTCCAATTAAAAAAAAAGGAGAATGATCTCAGAAGAACAGACTGTTGTATGTTATAGAACAAGAAGCCAAGCACCATTGGAAGAACCCTCCAGTTTCTTACAAAGAAAAAATAACAGCATAATGCTTAATAGTTCTAATTGGAACTATTAAATTAGAATGTTCTAAATATTCATGTTACTATTTTTTCCTTTTCCTATACTTTTATTACTGATGGAGTTTTAAATGTTTTGAAAATTTTCCCCAGTACTGGGGATTGAACCCAGAGCCTCTGCATTGAGCTACACACCCACGCATTTTCTTGTTTGTTTGTTTGTTTGTTTTTAGAAATAAGATCTTACTAAATTGCTATGTTATCTTACCTGGGCTCAAAATTGGGATCATTTTGCCTCTGCTTCCCAGGGCACTAAGACTACAGGTGTGTAACACCACACATAGTTTAATAAAAAGTTTACAGGTCACAGAACAATTATAGTTTTTCTATTAGCAATTAAAATCGCTCTGCAGGTGTTTACAGTCCTATGCTACTGTGCACGTGAGGACTACTTATCCAGATTTGCCAGAAAATCTAATAACAAATCACAAATGCATGTCCCATCCATGCTTTTCTCTAATTACTAAAACATACTGCTTTAACCTGCCACATGGTAAAGTGTCATTTTTGAAGTATTCTATTCAAGGAAGTAACTAATTTTAAATGTTTCAAAGAACAGAAGACACTCCAAAGGCCACATTATAACGTAAAAGCACATCATTTATTAAGCATCAAAGAAGTTGTCCTTGAATGTATTTAACCACATATATCTTTCTAAGAATTACTGCATTATATGACATTTCTAATTCCAACTTCCTAATAAAGTTTAGTGTCTACATGCAATCACTCCAAATCTAATGGAATGGGAAGTTACTTCCTTGAGTTTGGAAGTTGCAACCTTCAACTTTCTGCTCCTCTCTCCATATGGTCTCTGTCTTCAGTTGTGCCTCTGTGAAACCAAAGTCCTTAAATTTTATCTTCGTCCTGAGTGGTCCCCAAGCTAACATTACTATACCGGCTTGGGCAGGCCCAAGGCAGCTTGCTCTCTGCTGTCTAAATTCTCTGTCTTCATTCCTGAAACCCAGTCTCTCCTTATTTCCTTTCTCTCCTTCACACTGAGCTATATCCACAGCCCCCACTCCCCAGACTTCTTATTTTGAGACAGGGTCTCCAGGGCTGGGCTCAAGTTTTCTGTCCTCCTGCGACAGCCTCTCAGATGCCGATTATAGGCATGTGCCAGGATACCTAGTTTAACCTCTTTGCATTATTTCTTTTAATTTTGGCTCCTCAAAATCTGAAACTTAGCGTTAAAAACTCTCTCTTCCTTGTGTGTCACATAATTTTAAAAATATTTGTTCACTAGTAGAGTTAACTTAAACTAATTAACAGTAACCTAATTGTGGCTACTCTGCACAAAAAGGGTTTAGAGGCCCACATATTTTACACATGTGTATAGATACACTTGTGTAAATGGTACCTCAGAAGTAGACTGGGGGTGAGTTTATGGTTTGAAGGAAGAGTGAATTACAGTTCCAGCTAGACTGACCTCTGCACTGGCAGCACAGCCAGTGGCTCAGCAGGGATGGGATTCACCAGAACAGATGCCCTGAGGCAAAATGCAGAAGGAGCACCAAAAGATGAATCACAGGAGAACGGGGGACTACTTCTGATGGATTTCAGCGTGAAACTTTGAGATGCTTATCTCCAACACTGTGCCCCACCTGCTCTTGGCTATGCCCCTCTTCTGCTCATCAGGCTACCTCATATTCTTGTAAAGGCAAGAGGAGCTAATTTTCGGGTATGTGCTACAGTCTGGAGAAGTACCTCCCAAAGGCCTGTGCGTTAAATACTTGGTTTCCAGCCTGTGGTGCTACTGGAGGTGGTGGGACCTCAAGGAGCCGGGCACTAATGGCGGAAGTTAGGCCATGGCATGTTCTTTGATGGAGTACTGGGACCCTGGCCCTTCCTGTTTGCCTTCCTTGAAATGTGCTACCTCACCACAGCCTCAGAAGCAATGGGGCCAATCCACTGCAGACTGAGCTCTCTAAAGCTGTGAGGTCTATCTTGATAAGCCTTCCCTCCTCTCAGGTATTTTGTCATAGTGCCAGAAAGCTAACACACTCAGAAATAAGCGACCCAGTTTTCACAACTTTGCCAACAAGAGTGGCAGTACCACGTATAGAAGTTTCTCTCCTCAACAAGAGATGCACACAGCCATTTGGTGGGGAGTGTTATACAATACTGAGCACCTGCCTGATGGCAGCAGCAGGGGAGAAGTGACATTTTATTTTATTTATTTATTTTTATCGGTACCGGGGATTGAACTCATGACTGCCTGCTTGCAAGGCAGGTGCTTATGCCACTGAGCTAAACCCCCAGCCCCGAAAAGTAACATTTATTCCTCCAGATCAGCTTTATTGGTTTCTAAAAGCACAGAAAACCTACTAAACATGGGACAACCTAGAGATGAGCTCTGTAAAGGCTAAGGTAGTATGAATAAAGAATATTAATTAATGATCACTTGTCTATACAGGTTTATTAGTTGTGACAAATACACCATATTCATATGAGATGTTAGGAATGGGGAAACCAGGTGGGTTATACCGTAAATTTTCTAGGGTAACTAATAGAACCCAGGAAGACACTTGACTCACATTATCCATTTATTATAAAGGATATCACTAAGGCTTCGGCTCAATAGTCAGAAGAGATGCGTATGGCACGTATGTGGGAATGGACTCGGGAGCTTCTATGCCCTTCCTGGGTGCCCAACCCTCCAAGAACCTCCATGTTTTCTGCTATTTGTAAGCTCCTCAAACCCTCTCCATTTCGGGTGTTTTGGAGGATTTAAGGAGACTTCATTAGGCAGGCATGACTGACTAAATCACTGGCCATTGGAAATCAATTTTCTCTCACCGCCTCTTACCTCCCAGGATTTGAGGGTTCATGCTACAAGTTTTAATCTTCTAATCATGCCTGGGCCCCTCTAGCCTCTAATCGGTACAAAGACATACAAAAGACACTCGTCACTCAAGGCGATTCCAAGGGTTTCAGGAACTGTGTGAGAAGAAATAAGGATGAAGGCCAAATATGTATTTCACAGTATCGCAACTAGCCTTGTCATTTTCTATACATCTAAAATTTAAAAGTTAACTTCTAAAAACATAGCAGAAAGCCAAGTGACAGAAACTATACTGAGAAAGTACAGTGACAGAAACCTGATCAGTAGTTGACTAGCAGAGAGAGTGAAGCCAGACGGACCACGAAGGTGCAGCTGGTGAGGGTAAGGACGGTGTGTCTAGATGGTACGGGTGAACATGCGGTTGTGCACAGTTAGCAAAATTCATTAAGCACCACGAAATGTGTGAATTTTATTGAGTAGAATTCATGCACTAAAGAAGAGCCGAGTAGTGGGAAGATGTTGCAAGTCTGTTCAGTCGTTGGGTAAGAGGTTGTGGGAAGTGGTTTAAGCAGCAGCGTGGAGCATGGTTTGGGGATGAGGTCAGCAAGGAGGGGACTGCAGAAGTCCAGGCAAGCACAGGCCAGAGTCTGAACAAAGAGCTGTGGGTAGAGCAGAGAGGAGCCTGTGACTGCAAGCTACACTGGAGGAAGGCGAAGATGACTAAAATAGCCTCATCGCTGGGGACGCACATCCATTATCTCATTTAACTTTCCTGGTCACCGAGGAGAGGATTGGATCCCTGTGTATGGGAAAGAACTGGCTCAAAGAAGCAAAGAAAATCTCCTTAAGGCTGAAGGGAAGAGGAAGGCAAATAGGCTGCTGCCAGGTCTGGGGACCCTACTTTGTCTTCTAGAATTCAGTCCATAAATTCCAACCCACTGGAATTCAGCCCACATCTCTGTTGTGTCTTAGGCTCTTTGACCTGAATGCTCATTTATATTGAATTACATGCTAGTTCCATAAAATATCCCTGGATGGCTATCATGTCATCCTCTACGGGTACAGTCCGTAAATCTCAGAGATGAAGGGCGAGTTGTTCAGCAGCTCCCAGACCTCACCACACCTCACACCCACACTCAGGGAAAGGAGGAACAAGCTCCTACGTCAGGACGTTCATAACGAATAAGTTTAAAAATACCTGATAATTTAAGGTCGTAGATTTCATGCTTCTCTTTCTCTGAGTGTCTAGCGCTGTGCATTTTCCTACCTGCAGAATGACAATTATTTCATGACTTGCTGTCTTTGATTTGTTTGTGTGATTTGGGGGGGAGGGGATAGGAAACCATTTCTCAAGTAGAGGAGGCTTTAATCGTAACAGAAAATTCTGGTTTTGTTTTTTAAAGATGCCAGTTTAAGAATGAAATGTCTCAAGGGAAATGGACCCCTTAAGGGTCCCTCCTCTTCCTAGTTATAGACAAATAGTAGGTATCCATCCATCTTTGCAATCCAGGAGGCCGATTCTTGGATAAATGTGGAATGGCTCCATTTCCTGGATACTTATTTATCTAAGTATTTGTTTTAAAGTCTGCATTCCTTGCTGGAGGAGAGTTGTGCAGGGAACCACAGTTACTGTCAAGTTCAGGAATCAATAAACAGCTGTTGATTGAATGCACT